TATTAATTTCCACTATTTTGCTTATAATATTTACGCTATTTGATAAAACAATACAACTATATATTCTTATTTGTTCTTCTATGTAGTGTCCTCAACAGCAAAACGGTATAGATTGCGGATACTTCGTTATACGGTTTATCAAAGAAATCATTCAACTGAATCAAATAGAAATTCCAGTCACGGTATGAATTTATAACTTAGGATTTGTTTTATTATTTCTCGGATATTTCATATAATTTTTTACTTTTAACTAAATCATGCATATTATGTTTTGTTATGTAGTACTTCGATGAGTACAAATGTGCATATTACACGAAACTTCAGTTGCAAGAAACCAAAGAGGAGTTGTGTCAATATTTTATTGAGCAGAGAATAATATAAGGATTGGTTTAGTTGTTGTTAGGGTTGATTTTGTAAGACTGATTTTGAGTTACAATACTGATAACAATGGTTTATATATAATGAGATACAAAAATGGTGTATATAAATTTTGGTATATGAATTTGGTATACAAAAATGCATTACCGCTATTTATGAATTACAGGTTATGGCAACTGGTTTATATAAATAATATGCTGCAAACAATGCAGGTATATGAATTATATAAATTACACCTCTAAAAAAAACACCCTATGAAAGCGCTTTTTGGAGAAAAGCGCTTTCATAGGTAGACCTATGACAACGCTTTTTCACATAAAGCGTTGTCTAAGGTAAACATATGACAGCGCTTTTCCAAGAAAAAGCGCTGCTAAAAGACAACCTATGAAAGCTTTTTTCCAAAAAAAGCGCCACCAATGAAAGCGCTTTTTCATAAAAAAGCGCTGCCAAAAGCCTATTTAAGAGAGCGCTTTTTAGAAAAAGCGCTGCCAAAAGCCTACTTAAGAGAGTGCTTTTTAGAAAAAGCGCTGCCATAAGGGTACTTAAGAGAGCGCTTTTTAGAAAAAGCGCTGCCATAAGGGTACTTAAGAGAGCGCTTTTTAGAAAAAGCGTTGTCATAAGTAGACCTACGAAAGCGCTTTTCATTAAACAAAAAGCGCTGCTAAAACCTATAGCAGCGCCACCTTAGAAAGCGCTTTTAAGCGCTTTTAAAGGCCAAAAAAAGCGCTTTTGTAGGTCTTTTTTGGCGTAGTGATTGATGAGAGATTTTGGATTTGGCCCGAAGGAAGCTCGTATGTTTCTTATTTATAAATTTTTATTTAAGTATACATTTTCATTTTTAATATAAATTTATATTTAATATTGCTAATTCAAATTATTGTTGTTTAGTTTATCGCTGAGTCGGACTGCTACCAAGGTTATAAATTATATAATTCAGCAGATGTATAAACAATTTTGGAAGACCTTCAAAGACGTTAAAAATAAAGAAGTTTCGCTTAACAAATTTAAGGTATAATTACTTTATTTTTTTAGTTATTGTTATTTAAATGAATTTTTCATTATAATTATCTAACTATTTATTTTAATATCATATAACATTATAGGAAAAATGTGTGTGGGATACATTGAATGAGAAGCTGATTAAAAAAAATTATTATGGCAGAATCTCAAGACGACTTTTTGAAATAATGCAACGTGTTAGAGAGCGTTGGGAACTTCAGGATATCCGTTCCAATTGGATAGGCAAAGAGGTTTTTGAGGAACTTCTTAAATATTGAAAGTCACCAGAATTTCAGGATAAATCTGAAAAGTTTAAGAAGATGAGGGCATCTAAAAAAGGGGGTTGTGTTAATGCAATTGAAAGTATAAGTACGACAGATCATGTTCGACGCATGATAAATATTACCACTTTTTTAAGTTATATTTTAATTCATAATATATTTTATTAATAAAATTTAATTTTATTATTTAGACTATGACTTTGGGGAGACCACCACTGATAATTGAGCTGGTTAAAAAGACAAACGAACAAAGAAAAAGGGGATTTTGTTGACGAACGTACACTAAAAGCTTTCGTAAGTTATTTAATTTACGTTGTTTATATATATATATATATATATATATATATTATATATATATATATATATATATATATATATATATATATATATATATATATATATATATATATATATATATATATATATATATATATATATATATATATATATAATGACAATTTTGTGTCGTGATTTTCACGTGGCAACTGAGAAGTTGTGACGTGAAAATCACGTGACAATTGAGAAGTCGTGGCGTGAAAATCACATGGAAACTTTTTAAATATAATATAATATAATATAATATAGTTTAATTTAATATAATTTAATATAAACTTAACTTAATTTTTTTATTGAATGTGTAGGAGGATTATTGGACATTGCTCACAAATTTTCTGATTCATAATCCTCAATATACTTCGGGAGAGGGAGAGTCGCTTCATTCAGATGTGGATTTTTATATTTGGGATCAAGTCATTGGCGAAAAAGGCCCTAACGGTTGTTTTTTTGGTGGTGGAAATTTGGTGGGCACCTTTAGAAGTGGGGATAAAACTTTATTTCAAAGAGTTAGAGATGGGGAAGGAGGGTCACGCCAACCAAATTTGACACCAGAACAACTTAAAACAATAAGACAATTGGCGTTAAATGAGGCGAGACGCGAGTCAGCACAACGTGAGGAGACAATGAAGGCTCAAATGGAGGCAATGAGGAAAGAGCAACAACGACAAATGAAGGTCATAACAAAGAGACAAGCTGATATGGAGCAGCAAATGAGACAATTTATGCAAGGGTTTGGTGGAAATCAAAACGTTCGTGGTCAAGAGTTAGAGGATGATAGAAATGAAGATAATTTTGACATTGACAACTATACCAGCCAAGATGACCAGTAGAATTAGTTTTTTTTAATTTTATTTTTCTTTCAAATTTGAATTTGTGTAACATACTAGTAGTGTATTAAATTAAGAAATCTTAAATTTTTTATTTTAGTTTTTTAATTTTGTTATATTAACTTTATTTAGTTTACTAATTTATATATTGAATTTATTAGTTAATTTTATTAATTTAATTAATTATAAAAGAAAAACAAATTTCAGCAATTAAATTAAAAAAAAAACATTAGTGACGTGATTTCCATGTCACAAAATTGTGACATGTAAATCACGTCGCAACTTAATTTTTTTATAAAAAAACAAAAGCTGAATAAAACATTGTATTATTAAATTTAATTAACTAGTGATGTGATTTTCCCGTCACAAATTAGTGACATGAAAATCACGTGGCAAGTAAAGTGTTGCTCTGACTCCTGCGTCTGTTACGCCTGAATAATAATGTGGCTGAGGAGTGGGTGGCATGACTTTTCACGTTGTGACGTGAATATCACGTAACAAATGGGAGTTTTTTTTGTAGTGGTTGTCCCGTTGTAACTATATGCATATCTCAACTAAATATAAGGTTAACATTGCATATAGAAGTAAATGGAAATATTCGAGTTACAAATCCAGCAACACGTGGCATTAAAAAGTTATCAAAAGAAATTTAACTGTAGCAATTCAATAATATTCACGAGTTACTTATCTTTTCAATGGTGGCGTCGGTAGCATCTCTATCAAATGATGGACCAACCTGGACATGATTGATTATCGTCGAGGGCCTATAATCTCTCTGATGGTCTGATAATGAGCTTGTCGGTGATCTCAATTTGAGAGGCTTGTGTGGAGGATCTGTATGGTGGTGACTCAAACGGATCTGATATACTTGGAGGTTATCGGCTTTGTGCATGGATTTTTCGGGTGGTGATGGTGGTGTCGGAGGTCTATGCGGCAACGTCAGCTACATAGAAAATGGATGACCTCCCCAAAGCGGGCCGAGAAAGGTCGCAGTGTATTTCTGAGGAGTATTTTGTATCTTGGAGTTTTTCTGTTAAGATTCTGGATCCTTTCTTCTCTCCATTAGCTACCTATTTATAGTGTCTCTACCAACAAGGTGCTGAAATGGTATTCATGGGCATTACCACAATGGTTTCCTTGTCCCTTCAGAGTCATAATGGCTATTGATTATATTGAATGAGGTTGTCTGTAGGCCAGCTCTATGCTGGCTAGCTCTGTGGGCGAGCCTGTTCGCGGGCTAGCTCTGTGTGGGTGAGCCATATTCGTAGACTAGCCCTGTGTGGGTGAGTCCGGTTTGCAGGCTAGCCTTGTGTGGGCGAGCTATGCTTTAACTGTCTTGGTTGTACCTTCAAAGGTGAGCTCTCTTTTAGGTCTTCTGTCTGAGTCCCACATCGCGAATAACTATTTTCTCAGGATGTATATAAGCCCCAGACGTCTTTTATCCGAGACCAATAACTCAGATAGCTATTTTCTCATAATGTACAAACATAATTCTCTAAGAAGAATTCAAAAAAAATATTCGAAAAAATCAACGAATAAAAAGAAAGGGAGAGAAGTTAATGCCTCGATAATTAAAAATTAAAGACGCAAAATTATGAGATTGAAGAACAAAAAACACAATAGAAATTTTTGACATTTTTTAAAATGAAACAAATAATTTTCTTATATAATAACGTTTGCTAGACAAATCTCGAATCTAAATCACATGCGATTACTATCACATTAATATTATTAAAAAAAAATCACACAAACACGTTAACTTTTCTAACAACGTAAAATTTAAAGAAACTTTTTCAAATTATCTCCTTATTAAAATTACTAAAATATTGAAATGTTGCAACAAACACACATAGGAATCTAAGTACACCAGTTACTCAGTAGTATTATCCGAACATAATTTTTTTACAATCTCTAATTTGATGCATAGCCCAAGAAAATATTTCTGCTAACGAAACTTTTTTATTAATAAAGTTTTTCTTTCATATAATAAAAGTGCTTATCTAATACGTTATGCACGATAACGAGGTCACACATAATTTAAAGACGACGCAGTACAACATACATATGCAGTCCTAGATAGTTATACTGCATATTATTTATTTATTTATTTATTTTTATACTATAGTTTTATTTATATATGTATATATACTGTCCCTCCTGCATGTTGGAGAAAATGCATTTAACAGTTTCTATAGGTGCACCAACAGCGAAAATCATCCCTGCACCTACCACCAACTACCTTCTCTTTGTTTTTGCAATGATCGTCACAGCTACCATTTGTGAAGCACGGTCCCTTGTATTTGGCAGACAAATTCTCACAATTTGCCTCAGTCACCGCAATTTCTTCTGCATCAAGATACCAATACAGATATTAACTATAATGTACTAATTATGAATATTGAACTATGCCATAATGATAACTTACGTGCAACAAAGAGAACGAGGAAAAGGAAGGATAAGACAGTTAATGATTTCTTCTCCATGGCTCAATGAGTGATGATGAATATAAACTTAGGATAACTCAATTCACTTTAATGTGTTATGTGTATGTTTGATATATGTGATGATCGTAAGACAAGTATATATAGCCCCATGGGGCTTGACTAGTATGAGAGATAACAATAAATAAGAAAAGGTGCCAACTTTATTAACCAAATATTAGGTAACTTTATCCATCTAACTTGACTAATATAGTTAGTTTAATAATATGTCACTTAAGATATCACTAAGTAGATACTATTTTTAATCAATATAAACCGGATAGTCGAAGAGACCACACCACAAAACACTTTTTTTGGTTCGATAATTTGAATTACAAGCTATTTGCAAATTGAGAAAATAAAGAAGAATAAAAAGAAATAGAGAAACAGAAGTATTATTGGAATGAAAAATAAATGAAATTTATTTCTTTTTATAAAAATAAGTGTTACATTCTTTATATATATATATATATATATATATATATATATATATATATATATATATATATATATATATATATATATATATATATATATATATATATATATATATATATATATATATATATATATATATATATATATATATATATATATATATATATATATATATATATATATATATATATATATATATATATATATATATATATATATATATATATATATATATATATATATATATATATATATATATATATATATATATATATATATATATATATATATATATATATATATATATATATATATATATATTTATATTTAGCATTAGCCACGTGAATAACTATTAGTAACTATATGTTAAACTATTATTAATTGTTTATTGAATTATCAATAAACACATGGTGAACTATCAATAATTACTTTCTGAATTATCAATAATCATATTTTAAACTAGTAGTAATCACATATTGAACTACCAATAACCACATACTAACCACATCTAATACTCTTCCTAATTCAACTTTTTAAGTTCTTCATTTCCACCTGTCCTTTAAGGCCTTCCAATCTTGCTTGCTTCAAGGGTTTAGTTAGAATGTCAACCAATTGCAATTCAGTTTTGCAATACTCAATTCTAAACCTCTATTTACTAACATGGGCTCTAAATAAATGGTACCTTCTTCCTATGTATTTGCTTCTACCATGGCTTATAGGATGATTTTCTAAATCAATTGTTGTCTGATTATCCACTAACGACTTGATTTGCTCACAATTGTTGACATTCAACTCTTCAAGCAACATCTCCTACCCTGAAACATAGTAGGTTACAACATACTCTGTCTCACATGAAGACAAAGTCATAATTACTTACTTCTTTAAACTCCATGAGATTGGTGTTAATCCATGTTGGATGAGAATACAAAGTAGGAAAAATAGTCTAGGGAATGAAAAGACAAAAACAAAATTTTTGACTGATTTTTCAAAATAGAATAATAGAGGATTTTCAAAGTTGTGCGAGAAAGATTTAAAACGAAAATATGTGAATTATACTTTTGTTGGATTTTGATCACGTCGACAAATACAAAATTCACGAAACCTATAGATTGATCAACAATAAATAATCGAACAATTGTATATTACACTAGATGTTTCATATACAATATTTAAATTATGATCAGATTCTTACATCACTAATTTTTTATTGAAATTTTATTCCTGAGGAGAGAGATGTTGGACACGATGTTGGAACAACTAGTCCCACAAGTTAAACCAGATATAACACACAAATGGATAGTAATACAAAGTCAATGTAAAAGCAGTAAATAACGCCTGATATTGGTAATCAAGTTCAATGCAAACAACACATATGTCTGGAGGATACTCTATCCAAGAAAGGAAATTCACTATCAATAGTTTAGTACACTTAGTCTTACAAGAGCAACAAGCCCATGTTTTTCAAAGCATCTTCCTAACACCACCCAATGAACTTTTTAGGTCTCCCCCTAAATATTAGAATCCTTCTCACTTTCTTTCAATCACTAATCTCATGTGATCAACTTCAATAACAATCCTATTGAATATTGAATATTACAACTCAATTAAGACAAACCAACAACTATGTTAAGTTATTGAAACATAGAGGAGTGTACACAAAAATTCTACTCAAACTGTTATTATGGCATTAGCGTGAAATACAAGTTACAAAGACTTAAACCCTAACTTAATGATATTAATCCATACATATTGTTATTATGGCATTAGCGTGAAATACAAGTTACAAAGACTTAAAGAATGAAGAATCAATCCAAAACTGTTTTATGAACTTGAGTTGTGAATTTCTAAGTTTGAACGCATCGTACTAAATTTATGTCTGCATTGTCTCAAATCGACTGAAATGCTTAACTTTCTGCACGATTTAGAGCATGTTGAAATGCATAAGAGCTTAACACATTGATGAATTTCTTGGTTGTTGATTGGATAACTTGGAAAACATGTGGGTAACAGAAAAATGTGGAAAACCCTGAGTTCTGCTACATAATGCTGCTTAACGGAACAATCAATTTTCCTAACTCTTTCTTGCAAAGAAATACCTCGTTTCCATGAGCATAAGCCTATGACATGAATGTATGCATATGGTAATTAAATATAATCCAATTAGAATTAAAATGAAGAGGGCGAATTTTGGGTTACAACAGCTGCCCATATTCAATCTTCTTTAACCAGAAGGCGAGATTGACGCAAGCCTTTCGAACAATTAAGGTGAAAAAGGATTGAGTACTTAATAGAATCGTAAAATTTGTACTTTGAAGCCAGTCGGGTATTATTTATTTTTGGTTTTTTGTATATTTAGTTTTTTTTCTTTTGGGTTAAAGTGGTTATCAGGGGTAGGTGTATGTCAGGTCAAGATTAGACACACAAAAGAGAGATCGAATAATTGAAAACGGTAAAGATCTTGGACACATAACAAGAAGAGACTGACCAGAAAAAACTCCAACAAGAAAAGACATACTTGCCTAACCAAGTGTACTAGACAACTGAACTTTGAAAGAGACACTAAAGGACTATAACAAGGAAGGACGCACTTGCCCAACCGAGGATTCCAGACAACTGGTCTAGAACATAGTTTGGTTCTACTTCTTAGTAATACTTTTGATGATAACAAATAGATGATATATATAAAGAACAATCATTCTATCTAATAAATTATTTAAATATGCATAGAAGTTCTGATAAAAAAGCATTGTAGTTGGCGAAAATTTTTCATTTTGAACTTCTGATAAGACGAAGCGTACAAACTTAGAAGCAAGTCTGTGTAACACGCTCTATAGAAGATGTTCTGATATTATAACTTCTGAAGCACCAAAGGTGTAAGCTAAAGTCTGATGAAGCAATACTCTAATGATCTATTGTATTATAACTTCTGAAGCACCATAGCTGCAAGCTAAAATCTGATGAAGAAAAACTCCGATAAGTGAAGATCTGGAAGAACAAAAGAAGTCTCAACGCACTCATTTATTCTAAAGTTCTAATACTCAGCACTTACGATCAAGCTATACTCTGATAAGTGAATATTCTAAAAGTACAAAGAAGCTTCAACGTGTCTGTCTCAATCAAGTTTTGATCATATGAATCTCAAGAAACTCTGATGATCTAAAGTATCAATGTTAATATTCTTATTCTGATCATATTTAAAAGAAGCAAAGTTCTGATGAATTACAATTCATTCATTACAAATCAAAGAGTAATGGTTGGTACCGAACAAGATATGTATTTTTGGAATGTGCATTAACAACATTTTATAAACCTTCCAAATATAGTTTCTTATGTCTCCAACGAGTCAATTAACTTCCTCTATATAAAGAGACTATGAAGATGGATCAAGGCATCACTCACATATACCAACAAGAGCGATACAAAATATTCTCTATTATCGTTATCTCTTGAATTATCACTGTGCTTTAATCTTTGTGTAAACATCAAAGTTGTAATATAGCTTTTTAGAAGCATTTGTTAAACACATTATTTCTGTTAGAAAAGTTGTAATTCATTGAGAAACCAAGTTGTGGTTTAGTATCAAGAAGACATTGACGGTAGTCTTTGTGAGTTGTAATTCCTTGAGAAACCAAGGTGTGGTTTGATCTCAAGAAGACATTGACAGTTGTCTTCGTGAATTATAGTCAAAGTTTTAATTAGTAGATTAAGACCTCGATTGAGAGAGGTGAAATCACCTTGGCGGGTGGACTGGAGTAGTTTGAGTTCAAATAAACCAGGATAGCTAAATGTGTCATACTATTTTTAATTTTTGAAAACCCCAATTCAAACCCCCCTTTCTTGCGTTTTTATATCCTTCAATTGGTATCAGAGCACCTGGTTTTGGGTGCTATCACTTAACCGTGTCAGGAAAATATCCTAGCAAGAAAAACACTATGGTGGAACCAGTTTAGAACAACAATGATGATAAAGACAAAATCAGCGGCAGACCCCTAATGTTTGACAGTGAAAATTTTGATTACTGGAAAGACAAAATCGAAAGTTTCTTTCTAGCTCATGACACTGATCTCTGGATATGGTGACTAATGGCTACATTCATCCTAGTGATGAAAACGGTCAGAAGATTGATAGAAAGAAAATGACAGGTCAACAAAAGAAATAATCCAGAAATCATCACAAGGACAGAATGATTCTCTTGAGTGTCATTTCATACACCGAGTATGAGAAGATCACAAACAGAGATTCTGCTAAAAACATGTTTGCCTCTTCGAGAATGACACATGAAGGCAACACACAAGTCAAAGAGACCAAAGCTCTTGCACTCATCCAGAAATACAAAGCTTTCAAGATGAAAGAAGATGAAAAAATTGAGACAATGTTCTCAAAGTTTCAAATTCTAGTTGTTGGGTTGAAAGTTTTGGACAAAGGGTATTCGACAGCAGATCATGTAAAGAAAATCATTAAAAGCTTACCAAAGAAATATGTTAAAACATAGTTTCTTTCTACATCCTTGTAATAGTTTTGATGATAACAAATACATGATAATTATGTACTTAAATATAAAAAGT